TGTCAATTTATGGAATGATGAAGACCTATTTGTCTCATTTATGCTCGGTGGTCTACCAAATGTATTTGCTCAAGAGCTTGAACAAGAATGTGGTTTAAATGTATAAAACTAATCACAAGCTCTGTAAAACCCTGCCTACATCAACTAAAATACCTATTCTAATTTTGTTTGTCACACTCTGTAACCTGTAAATACATACATACATACATACGTACGTACGTACCTACGTACGTATTTACAGGGTACAGAGTGTGAATTTCATATTGTTTTACGCCGCACTCAACCCTTTTCCACCCCAGTCAAGTCAACTTGTAAACAATCACGAAAAAACAAACCAAAAACGAGCGTTGTATCCGATCCAACCTAGCCCCATCTGAAGACAAGCAACAACTTGTGGAGGACATGTTATAACCAGAACCTTACCCCCACCCCATCCACCCCAAACCCCACCTGTCTGTTTATGTGTGTGTGTATCTGTCTGTGTGTGTGTCAGTCTGTGTGTGTCTGTCTGTGTGTGTGAGTGAGTGAGGGAGGGAGGGAATAGATGCATGTATGATACCCAAAACTCCATAACTGCAGTTAGATCAAGGTCCACGTCACCCTAACGTAATGCACACGCACAGAAACACTGTATAGTAACATTGCGTTAGTGTCATGAAAATTCACTGACTTGCATTTCTACCATCTAACGTCCTGCATAACCAAACATTTCTCAACTTAATAACAATACTTCATCCAAACCTTAAAAAGGCTATATTAAGACTGACTGACTGACTGAGTTTGGTTTTACGCCGCTTTTAGCAATATTCCAGCAACATCACGGCGGGGGACACCAGAAATGGGCTTCACACATTGTGCCCATGTGGGGATTCGAACCCAGGTCTTCGGCGTGACGAGCCAACGCTTTAACCATTAGGCTACCCCACCACCCCGCTATATTAAGAACTACGTAGGAGATAGTATGTACTACGTAGGACAAACTAAGTCCTACGTATGAGATGATATGGGCCACGGTGACAAATCTTTTTGGTGTCACTATCTCCTACGTAGGACATACTATCTCCTACGTAGATATTAAGACGTACGTAGGAGATAGTATGTCGTAGGAGATAGTGACACCAAAAAAGGTTCTCACCGTGGCCCTACAATGCTTCTGTATACAACTGAAAAATATATAGCTAGGAAAAATAATAGCTAAGATGCACAGGCTATCGATACATAGGATAAGCCCCTATTGCTTCCAGTGATAATCAACGGTGAATGTGTTGAGACAGTGTCGGAGTATAAGAATCTGGGAACCTTCATTGACTCTAAGCTGAACTGAAACTCTAACACTGAAGCCCTATACAAAGAGTGTCAACAACGTCTTCATCTCATGCGTAAACTGAGATATTTTAATGTTAACCCATCTGTGATGTCATCTTTTCATGTAGCATTTTATTCAGAGTAATTTAACATTTTCCTTCCATTGTTGGTACGGGTCTCTCTCAGTTCATCTCAAATCTAAAATAGACAAAATTGTTAACACTGCAAGTTAAATCGCTGGAGTCAGATTTGAATTTTTATCATCAATATATGAGCGGCAAATCGTGAATCAAGCTGTCAAAATCATATCTGACCGTACTCACTATTTAAATTCTGAATACAACCTCCTCCCTTCAGGCCGCCACTACAAAGTTCCAATTGTGAAAACTAAGAGAGCCCGTACATCCTTTATTCCAAGTACCATATCTCTCTTAAACAAATGTGAAGATACCTAAATGAAAGAATTTATGTAAATATGTTGGGTATCACTCTAATGTGTCAGTAGCTCTGCTGATGTAACACAAATTCCTGAAAAGGCATTAAAGTATTATTCTATTCTATTCTATTCTATAGACTACTATAGGAGCAAGGTAATTCATCCCCCATATTGGATACCTCGATAAACCTCGTTTCACGCTACATTCTCGCTTGACATGGATAAAGATGGCTATTTTCAGCGACTTAAGTATTCCATTTTCCTGCACAACTATCTCTCATCTTCCTAAAGCCCCTTTATTTGGCCTTATTTGGCCGTTTTGACCGCTTATTGACCGATATCGCATTTCTGTAAAGCGGAAGTTCACGTAACTCGTCAGGGGACTGTGCACCGAATGCTACCGAGCTCTCTGATTGGTCCATATTACGATCACAACACAATGCACATGGCGAGATTGAAAATGGTATGCTCCCAAAACGCAGATCCGTTAAAACAACACTTGTTATGGTTGGTTGCATGCGTGATTAGTAGGCTGTACTCTTCATTAAGAAAAAATGGTATCACGCACTTGACGAGTTTTGACAATGTAGCACGTGATCCTTTATTTAATCAATATCTATTTGATCAATAATATTTAAAAGTTGTAAAAAAATATTCATCTAGGCGATCTGATAAGAGTAATATTTTACCAGAAACATGGCATACATATTTTAAAGATTTATTAAATCCTGTACCGCGTGTTGACTGTGACCAGGAGTGTGAATCGTCTTATGGTTTTACAATTGCAGAAATTATATCTGCAATAGACGATGCTAAACTGGTTAAGTCACCAGACACGACGGTATTCCAACAGAATTTTTAAAGAAAATGAAGGAGATATGATTGAGCCCTACCTTTCTTTATTGTTTTCACAAATATTGTGTAAGGGTCATTTCCCAGCTACATGGACAACTGCTATTATAATACCTATATATAAAAAGGGAAGTAATAATGAACCTGGTAACTATAGGGGCATATCGTTGTTGAACACTTTGTGTAATTATATACATCTATCATCAACAAGATTAATAATACCTTTGTCGAGAATGAAGGTGTAATTTGTGAATACGAAGAAAACATCACTTGAAAACATCCTGCTTGTTTACCAATCCGGTTCCACTTTTGGAAATAGATATTTTTAAAGCAAATGGTATCCATTATTTTTATTGTTCCACTAGTGTTAGACAAGGATGTCCACATAGTCCCTTGCTGTTCTCCATATTTATGAAAGTGTTGACCAGGCTATTCATTAATTAGGGGTGACCAGCATCTCCCAAGTAATTAGCGTGCTATTTTTATCTGCATTTTGGGAGGTCTGCGTTATGGGGAGTGAACCCTTCACTTGTGCTTCCTGAATGATCACTACCCAATGATCAAAGGGTCTTGAAATAAGATCTAAACGTATTAATTAAGAAAACATTGCGAGACTAATCAAACAGCTGAAAGTATTACATAAGAAAACAAGCCAAAGTACAGGATAAAAAAAAACATTTATAAAATTCAATAAGTAACAATCTCAAAGTATCAATTAAGAGAACAGTTCAAGAACAATGCTCATTAACATGAAAAAAATGTATGGCCATTTTGACTTTTTCTATGGCCATTTTGACTCTTTGGTATGGCCATTTTGACTTGGGGTTGTGGCCATTTTGACTATTTTGCGTGGCAATTTTGACTAGGGTCAGTGTGGCCATTTTTGCGTGTGGACATTTTGACCTGTTCCCGTTATGGAGGTATCCAATATGGCGGGTGAATTACCTTGTTCATATAGTAGTATAGGGGCATATACTATGTATCGATAGCCTGTGTTAAGATCCCTTTATAAGGAAGTGGGAACATTTATCTGTCATGTTAGAGCATTGAAGCGCTCATAAAATATCAATTGAAATCTCCAGTCTCCACTCCCCACAACCATCAAATCTTTGAAGGGCATTTTGAGGTGGAATGCACAAGAAAAGACATGCAAGATGTATGGATGTCACCTTCTTTATTGTGATTAACACGATGTTTCGGAGCGTATGCTTGCTCCTTCTCCATGATGAGCAAGCATACGCTCCGAAAACGTCGTATATATAGATGAATAAAAACAGAATGCCTTTTTCTCCAACATGTTTCGTTCTTTACTCTTCTGGGAGATTGTAGCTGTTACAGTATGACGTCATTACATATATATTGTGACGTCACAATAGGGACAACATTCTAGAGCGACAAGGTCACAGCTTGCAATGGTTTAACATTGGTTTGAACTTGTCTATGAAGTAGTGTTCTTTTAAAATTCGTTTTTATTTGTCCGAATTTTGAACTAGATAAAAAGGAAATATTGTAAATTTAATATCGTTTCCTTTCGCACAGACATCTAGATGTTAACTCAGTGGGATACATCAGGTTTATTTATTTATTTATTTGTTGTTTGTGGACACGAACCCGGGCTTTTAAACTTTCTGATTGATCAACATACTGTTCATTACAGCCTGTGCATGTTATGACATATATTATGTTTTGGAAGAGCACTCAAAATTCTGTTTTACATAGAATTCTCCGTGTCTCGTGAAAGTTACAGAGTGTCCTTCAACAATATGTCGACATGTTCCACAGTTACCTCTGTTGCATCTAGACACAGTAGGATTTTATAAATTCGGTTTCTTTAAAATAAATTTGTGTGTGTGTGTGTGTGTGTGTGTGTGTGTGTGTGTGTGTGTGTGTGTGTGTGTGTGTGTGTTATATTTTTGTTATAGGAAGGCGTTTCCTATTCTCGCGGTACTTACGGATATCGGCTGAAAAAATAGCACAAACAATTCTTATCGTATTAATGCATGTTGTTTTTCAATGAAGGGCCTTCTCCTCTAACATCTACATCTATCAGCTGCCAGATCCAGATCAGGTGAATTACCACTCGTGAGCCCGGTGATAAACAATGCCATCCGCCATTGACGAAACGAAGCTTCTCCCATTCTCGCGGTATTACCGGGAATTAACGTTATTGAGTGTATGTAAGAGCAATCCTGCCGGAAAGGGCGGGAAAAGTAATGATATGTCCAAGTTGGTATAAACTCCCCAATATTCGTGACACTGCAAGATTTTGATCACTCACAGACTTGGTCCACTTCCTAGTTACCAGTCGGTGATGTAAACAACGGCAGGGTGTCGCGCATCGGCGATTTCGGCAGAAACGTGTTTACCGTGAGAATAGGAAACCCGCGAGAATAGGAGACAGACCTACAAAACCTCAATGATGTGATGTATATTGCCTTTTATGTCATATATACTTTATTTGTGTATTGATTGAACTAAATTAAAAAAATATGAAAGAAGTAAAAGAGTGAGTCTCAAGCCAAAAGTGTGAGTTAGCATGTATGTTTCCTACATAAGACGTCAGACGGATACACAACTGGTATCTATCACGCCTACCAGTTCTGTGGAAAGAAACCTTTATCGTCAAAAGAGCACTTGCTGTGTACGGAATTGCCAGCCATACAGTACAGGTCTTTGTCTGTTCCTCTCATCATGGATGCGATACGACCAAGTCCGCTGTCTGTCATAAAGAATACGTCACATGATGACATCGTCTGTTGATCAAGAATAACTTTACCAAAACCGGCGCATGCGTAATCTTTTCCATGATTGTCACGATCAACATGAACGATATCCCCCTCCAAATCTTGGATGACACTAGGAAACAACCTCTTCGCATCCTGTCGCACTTTCTGGGAGTCTGTGGCTACGAACATTCGATAGAGGGCGCTGTTATTATACTTACTCAGGAAGTTCCACACTACACTAACATTCAAAGGTGTGGGACTGTACCAGTCGGTTGGAATAGTAGGATTGCCCCTTACTCGAACATGTGCACAAACGAGTTTTCTCCTTTTGTCACGGGCTGAAGTTTGGAAATTATCAAACCTTTTTTGAATTTCAGGTCTCATTCTAAACAACCGTCGTAAAACAATATTGTATATGTCAGTTGTTGTCTGATTATATGCCCACCGAAGAGTCTTAAAAAGCGGATGCAGCTTTAGATAGTTAACCATTTCCTGGTTCACAGTAAAATATGTGACGTCAGAAGGAAATTCATTTTCTAAATCAAGAGCTTTTGCAATTTTCTCACGTAGCTTAAATGCTTCATGGTCAAGTCGCTTGTACCTGCTACTTTTCAAGCCATTTATTTCAGAAGGTTGAAGACTCCAGTCAACTTTGTTCGACTGGAGGAAATTCTCGATATCACATGGTACCAGCATGTTGACTTTGAACTTCCGACCTAGTATTTGTGAAAGGATATAAGCACCTACAATTCCTTCTTCTCTGTCCCCTAGACCACCGCAGGCACCCTGGGAACAGTCGTAGATGAAATATTTATTTTCCCACCGTGGCTTAACAAAATATTCCTCAGGAATGGATTGTATTTCTGAGCCACTGTGATGATATTCAGGCGAAGGTTTGCCTTTATCTCTCAGGCCGTGAACTACATTCTCATTGATATGTCCCTTGACTCCTGTATTCGAGTAGACGAGTGCTGTCAGTACCAAGGCGCAAGTTAATAATGCAAAAAGTTGCCAGTGCCGTGGAGAGCTGAGCATTGTTGTGGATTGGTTGGAATCCCTGAAAAGAAGAAGTTCGATTTAATTGACTGTACAGCCATTGGCTATTTATAGGACGTTACCAGTATTTCATCAGAGCTTCTACATACATCCGCTTCATAAACAACCTCAACATACCACGCATATACATCGCTGTGATTAAGAGGACACACATTGACATGACACACACACATTCTTCAATCGCTTAGTGTCATCTGTGCGTCGTCATTGTCAAGCCTACATCAACGCCAATGGTGGACACACACTTTACCGAATTTGTGAACTGACACCACAACTCTTCAAGGACGTCTCACGATGCCTCGTGTTGTACACATTCGATATTATCCTGTCAACAGTTAAACAGTGATTAAGGAAATCACCACAAATTATGTCAGTATTAATTTGCATTAAACAAACATTAATTACATGAAGCTGATTATTAATTATTAACTCATACAATTTCACGGATCTTGTTTCTTGGTAAGGGCGCTGTGACGCAACTATTCAATGCGGTAGTAAAATCAACAAAACGCAATAGGTGGCCCAATCTCATGCAAAGGCAAGTCAATCGTGAGTGAGTGAGTGGGTTTAGTTTTACGCAGCACTCAGCAATATTTCAGCTATATGGCGGCGGTCAAGTCAATCGTACTCCTGAAAAGTCGAAATAGGGAATTTCATTGGACTTAATGTTTGTCGCTGATTTCAACTCAGAAATGTCATCCACATGTCCAGTAGAAAACTTTATCAAATCTTTTGTGAGGCCTTGGATGTGGATAGAGCTTTCCAGCAATTGTTTAAGTGATCATATGCAACAAGTACCTCAACAACGAGCTCTACTGTATGCAACCCAACAACGAAGATGTGTACATGAAATAGCGAGTGACAAGGGGCTGATCCGACGCCGCGTTTTGATAACGTTTTCAGAGTGAGATGAGAAAAGCAAAAAGGAAATGTAAACTACAAAATTCTCTTAAGCTCTATTATTCAAGTGAGTGAGTCAGTTTAGTTTTACGCCGCACTCAGCAATATTGCAGGGGGTCATAAACGAGTCAGGATCAGATGTTCCCGTAATTATCATCATGAGCATCGATCTGAACAATTCTTTATTATTATTAACATGGGCCGCCATTGGATATTGTCGTACATCAACCAAGTCAGCGAGCCTGAACCCGATCCCGTTATGAGTAGCTTACGACATGCATGGTTGCTGAAGATCAAGTCTAGCCCGGATCTTTACGAGTTATACACACAGTGTATTGTATACACATTTTTGTGATTCTTTGCCACATAAGACATCCCGTATCTCGAGTAAAATCGCATGTACAGAAACTCGACAATTACCTTGAAAAGGGTAATTATAGTATTGATTCCAATACATGATGCCTCTCAATTCTTTATTGCTATTAAATATGGACCCCATGCGGCCGTCTCGATACTTTGAAAGCATCTTAGCATCAGACTGGTGAGTGTCGGAAAGCAGATCTTTGATTGGTTGATAATATTATATCTCAGACCAGTGATTGGTCTTCTGATGATTATTGTGAACTATTAGTCCGTAGGGGTGTGCGATAATACCGGTTAACCTGTATATTGCATTTCGAACTTCACAATACAGTTTGGAGCAGTACATAACTTTGGTGACAGTATAATGACAGAAGCAGTTTGGAGCAGTACATAACTTTGGTGACAGTATAATGACAGAAGAGGTCAAATATATGCAGGTCTTCAGACGTTTACCTGTTTTAAACCATGAGCATTAGTATTGTGTCCATAAAAATGTTTTATATCTCATTTGTTTTAAGAGAGTGAGAGTTTCGTTTTACGCCGCTTTAGGAATATTTCAGCAATATCATGGAGGGGGACACCCTATATGGCGGTACACTTTTCGCGAACCGGTTCTCCCGATATGATCGGTAATTTTCGTGATGTAGTCAAAACTGCTAGTAACATTTGTATTTCCTTTAAATTATTATACTGTAATAGTTTTGAGAATGTTTATTGGTCATATGATTGCATTTGCGTGACTTTTAAACCATATAAATAATAAAAATAGATTGGTACCGGCACTCGTTGTAAGGATAAACAGACGCTTTTTCTCGAGTTCCAAACTTGAGTTAATATTTAACGTCACATCGGCAATGTTTCATTCATATTGTGACGAGAACAAATTTGACATTGATAAAGAATATGTGTATATTATAGAACCTGTCGTCAAAGGACAGTACAACAACTAGACTATGACAGTTAGAATTAAAACTAGCATATAAAGTTAAAACTAATAGCTCTATTTGGACAATACCTAATACACTAAACGCCAAAAGAAACGTTACCCTCCTTCCTTAATGACGGAGGTACCTATCTGCAGCTGGCGTTGTGAAGCGTGGACGTCTACTTCCTGGTCTGTCTACGGTGACCCCAGTCTTTCTGTAGCGCTGAATAAATCTTACAACCGTGATACGGTGGCATCTGAGGGCGTTGGCAACAGCATTGTATGTCGACCCCATCTGCACCATCCCAATGGCTCTTTCTCTCTCTTCAGCTGTTAATCGTGGCATATTTCTCGTACTTGTGTATCAGATCATGTATTCTAGTCTCTCTTTATACCCTATAGAATAATTCTCCACGTGAAATTGATGCAAATACTGCTTGAATATTGCTACGTTTTGGCGATTGATATTGCTATGTGTAAACAGAAAATGGAAAACTGTTACTTTGCAAGCAAAAATGTTAACAAAGATAATTTTAGATGTTCCTAAACATTTTTTCACAATATTAAAGACACGTTTTACTTGTTTTCACTAATGCAAATCAGCAGAAAATGTTTTAAAAGACTGAAATCATAGGAATGATTCTTTTATAATTTTACACACTCTACAACAGTTGTTTCTTGTTTTGACAGTTGAAAAGTGGTGACTATAAATAGTTTATCTTTGTCTCAAAGCAGGATTTTATTTCAACCTTTCCTTTGGACATCTACATCTGGATTCAATGTTATTGGTATATTTCGGCATGGTCGAAAATAGGACAATTTATCTCTTCTGAAAAAGATGCATTTCTACGGAAGCGTAGTAGGGCCACGGTGAAAACATTTTTTGGTCTTACTATCTCCTACGTAGTACTTAATATCTCCTACGTAGGGCTTAGCATCTCCTACGTAGTACTTAATAATATCTCCTACGTAGGACTTACGATCTCCTACGTAGGACTTATTATCTCCTACGTAGGACTTAGTATCTCCTATGTAGTACTTAATATCTCCTACGTAGGACTTAGTATCTCCTACGTGATAGTATGTCCTACGTAGGAGATACTAAGTCCTACGTAGGTGATACTAAGTCCTACGTAGGAGATAGTATGTCCTACGTAGGAGATAGTATGTCCTACGTAGGAGATACTAAGTCCTACGTAGGAGATACTAAGTCCTACGTAGGAGATAGTATGTCCGACGTAGGAGATAGTATGTCCTACGTAGGAGATACTAAGTCCTACGTAGGAGATATTAAGTACTACGTAGGAGATAGTATGTCCGACGTAGGAGATAGAATGTCCTACGTAGGAGATACTAAGTCCTACGTAGGAGATATTAAATACTACGTAGGAGATAGTATGTCCCACGTAGGACTTAATAACTCCTACGTAGGAGATAGTGACACACCAAAAAATTTCACCATGACCCTACTACGCTTCCGTACATTTTACCTAAATATGAATGCATTTGAGAAATATTTTTCGTGATTTGCATAAAGCTGTTTTGTTCAGCTTTCTTGTATACTAATGCCTTCTAACATATCTTTGATAGGTTTTCAGTAATTCATAAAGGTAGGACGGTAAATTTCTGTTGGAGTTTTGTGTTTAAGCACTAGGGCTGCGCAATATAACCGGTTTACCGGTATTAACCGGTTCAGACATGAAAACGATACGTATTGCGATACGCTGATGGAAAACCTGTAACAGGCCAGAGTATACCCCTGTCCCAGACTATACCCGGGGTTAAACTGGGCTTGCCCAGACTATACCCCAGGTATAATCCGGACTAGCCTAGTTTATACCCCGGGGTATATTCTGAACTAGGCCATAGTATACCCCCTTAGCCCAGATTATACCCCTACAGAAAACAAGTGATTAAGGATAATACTATAATTTTATTGTACTTCTCACACAATTAAACACTGGTTACAACATTGAAATGGTCCAATACATTTTCCAGATACAAAGCATAATCAGTGTGAGTTTTCAAGCTGAAGCTTGCAGGGTACATCAGCCATTGTATTGACTGACCAACTGCACTGTAAATATAAATTGACGAGTTTACTCAGAGCCGCCTTTAAAGTCCTGTTGTCACGTTCCCGCTGGCCGTTTGACTGAGGATGGTACGCCGAGGTGATGCGATGATCCGTCTGGAAATGGTCCATGAGTGAGTCAATCACTTTGTTAACGAATTCACGTCCTTGATCACTGATCAATGTGTCCATGCAGCCCAGTCGACAGATGACATGGAAAAGAATCGGTGCAACCGACTTCGCGCTTTTATCCGGGATAGCAGCGGCCTCCGACCACTTGGAAAAATGGTCGGTTACCGCAACGATGTACTTGTTGCCGCTTGTTGTCTCTTGTAGAGGACCGGTGATGTCAATTCCAACGAGGCTCCAGATTTTGGCAGGCACAGGAATGGAGTGTAGTGGTGGTGCTTCTGTGTTGACTTTTGGATTGATGACAAAGCACTTCGGACACGTCTTGACATATTCTTGCACGTCGTTCTTCATGCCTTTCCAATAATAACGCGAGGATATTTTGCCGAAGGCTTTATCTCTGCCAAAGTGTCCACCTGTAGCTCCCATTAGTTAGACAGCCAGTTGTTAGACAGTGGAGTAGGGTATTAATTAAGACAACACCCACCTCCATAATGGTAAAGCTCCAATTAGGTTGATGAGTAGAGTGTTGCCGAAATACCTTAGTTGTGTGTGCGACGCTAAATAAAGCGAATAACTAAAGTACTGTCGGAAATGCTAGAAATCTGAAATAGTCTTTAAATTTATGCTAATAATACAGGTGGTGTAAAAATATGAATTAACGTTTTTCTTAAACAAATAAATGTTGAATGTTTGTGTTACTTTACTTAATTATCGTTTCTTTATTGGAGAAAAATTAATATAAATGTTAAGTCTTGATAAATAAGTTTCCCGTCATGCATGCACATCTTTATCACAGCGTCCACTATGGCCAACTATTTGTAGTCGATTGTTGCAAAGGTTTATAAGTTTTACTGTGCTTGAAAAAGACAGAGGTAAACCTTTCATTAGTTTAGAAAGGGTTTATTACAGAACTTGTAGAGCTAGTTTGTCTTACCAACAAGTTTACAATATTGTAAACAAATCAGACAAGACAGGGACCGTCTCAAAAGCAAAACCGGGACGTACAACCATCCTTGACAACATTGACAAGGGAGGACTTAGACGGGCGGTCTACAAACTTTAGAAGAAGAATATATATATTCAAAAGAAGCTACACCAGTGACTTCGTTAAATCTTTGGCCAATGTTCACAACTAGATTAAACTGACCGAATTACATCCATATTTTTGCAATGAAATATACTGTTGACATGCAAAACATTTATTAAAACGTTGCACATTTCTACAATCAATCGATAAGATAACACAAGTGATAGGATTCTTTCCAATGTACAGTAATTCGTATGTTTATTTCAAAACAAACACACATACACAAATGATCCCTTACATAACCAATACGTATACTATACATACACATATTCAACATTTTGAACAAAACATCTATTGAGATGACCCCTCGCCCGAGCGTGTGCTCAGGTGTCAATTTCACCTGTCGATACCGTGCATGCTGATGACATAACACAGGCAGTTAATGTTTGTATCCAATAACGTCCCACTACCCCTTATTTTTCTAAGTTTTGGGTATTTTCATCAGTAAAAACACATTTTAGGGCATGTCTCAAAATTTATTCCCTCGGTCTACATTAGGTAGATTTTTCTTAAAGTGATATTTGTTATTTAAGTAACTGTAATACCTCTGAATTTTAAATATAAGTCAAAAAGCATTTTTCTAGCATTTCCGACAGTACTTTAACTCCCAACCTTGATATATCAGCATGGCTGGGTTACGCAAAGTCGAAAATATCATATTGCAGAGAGGCACTCAACAAATACTTAATAAATTTTGTATTATGCAGTAATGTAAATGAAATGCACCTACAAATTCCTTTAAATGACACCAAGACCATTGCCCGAGTCACACACTCATATTGAGTGAATTGTCAACATAATTTTTTCGGGGTATAGTCTTGGCTGGAGGGGGTAAACTTTGGCCTGGTCCAGAATCTACCCCCGGGGTATAAACTGGGCTAGCCTATAGTTTACCCCGGGGTATAATCTGGTGGGGGGTTATTCTGGGCTGCTACACCAGTATTTTGACAAGCATTCGGAAAGCTTCGTAACACTCGGAAACCTTGATGGTTGGTGCAATTGTGGTAATAGTGAGGGGAATGATCGTGGTGAAAAATACATTTAACTGAGGAAAGCAAGATTTATGGATGTCAACTTCTGTATTGCGAATGAAGTTGACATCCATAAATCTTGCTTTTCTTATGCATTCCACTTCTAAAGGCCCTTCAAAGATTTTACATTTAACTGGATTGTTAAGTTCGGTTTGAAGTTGTGTTATTAAATTTTGTTCAAGTGTTTCGCAATGTTTTGGATCTGAATGTTTTTAATATTTACTCATTAATGGCCAATGATCTCTGACATGTCCTGACCAGGTCAAGTTGCTGTCTAATATATCAGGGCTTTTTTGAGAGTGGAGAAAGTAGTTCAAACTAGAAACCACTGTGTTGATGGTTTCCTTGTTTCATTTGTGCCAAATATTATTCATATTGGTTAGAGTTCCTTACCTACCCCCCACCTAATTTCAGCGTGAATGTAAGAGAATGTTCACAATAAGACGGGATGCATAAAATAGGCGGGGGGTACGTAAGGAACTGTTTCCTGCTTTATAAATAAAGCGTTAACTCGATTATAAGTAGTTTATTGTTACAAAAAAGCTTCTTGCAATATATTGCAATACATATCGCAATACATGCTTTCGCATTGCAATATATCGCAATATGAAAATTCTCTGCAATACCCACCCCTAGTAAGCACAGGCTATAGATAGCCAACTAATGAAGGTAGGTACCATACTAAGATCCACGGGGAAGAAGATTGAAAGGCGACACTTGTAAACTTCAATCGATTTTTATTTCAGTCTTATATCACATGTGCATGCATGTAATGTGTTTTGTCCCAGATTGTAAATGAATGAAATGAAATTATTGACTATTACTTGGCATAATGTAACTCAGCTCGCGAGATTTATTGAACGCAGAAATATATACTCACTATTCAGGCGATGGCAGCAGTATCCGATCCAACGCGGGGTATCGTGACCTTCTTACACACGTCGCGTGGTGAACGAACAGCGTCTTCCTGGGTAGATTTCCCCTATGACCCTGCAGTTTTAAGGACAACACTTCACATTCGGAGTTTCGGCAGCAACCTTTCTCAACAACAGCGTATGTTATCAGTCAGTGGTCCTGCTATGTGTGGTATAAATCCGCCGGAAGGCGACCAGGCAACCCTAAGCTGTCACAAACAGGTATGTGCTGAAGATCGAGACCTAACTCTGGGTATGTACCGATCTATACTTCAGGCTTGATTCATCATCCATTGATGTCTGCTCCGGAGAAGTACTTGCTGTGAGTACCAGGACCTTCGACCTTGCGCCACTGAACTGATAAGCTGTCCTACAAAGATAGTGTTCAAATACTACCGCACACAACATGGACTCAATCAGAGACCATATAATAGAGGGACGTCCCTCGAGCACGTGCGCAAAAACCATCAGCACTACGGCTTGTACTGCGCAGCCTATCCGGAAGCTGGCAAAAACGTGTGTTGACTTCAGAAAAGGTAAGATTTGATTTTTATATTATATGGTCTCTGACTCAATTGAGTTGTCGAGCTGGACGCTACATCAAATGATGCTTAAATACCCTCAGGCTATGTTACACAAGGTTGTCCAATCCTTTAGCATTTGATTACGACATATTTGATAATCGTATCTACTTCTATTCACCGACGCGGCTATTGGTATCTAATGACTTCGCTGCACTCACAACTCTTGCTAACTCTCGGCACTCGAGACATGTTCCTCGTAAACTACCTTGCTTTAATCCTGAATATAATGTATGTGTCTGGACTTTGTATTCTTTTTATACTTCCTCTAATGACGGAATCAAATAGTTCCAAGAAGAGGTGTTAGGGAATATCTCCTTGTCCCAGGGACATTCTTCCCATGTACGAAGTCCCGCTGTGACAAAGATTTAGTTTCCATTTGGACACAGTACAGTACACAACGTTTATAATGAGTGAGTGACTTTATTTTTACGCCGCACTCAACAATATTCCAACTATATGGCGGCGGTCTGTAAATAATCGAGTCTGGACCAGACAACCAAGTGATCAACAGCATGAGCATCGATCTAAGCAATTGGGAACCGATGACATGTGTCAACCAAGTCAGCGAACCTGACCACCGATCCCGTTAGTCGCCTCTTACGACAAGCATGGGTTACTGAAGGGCAATATTCTAACCCGGACCTTCACGGGTAGTTTATACGAACACCCTTATAACGACACTGTTTATTTTGCTGAATATTTCAAACGAAATGGTTCTAACGAACTGATATTATAACGAACTAAAAAGACGTTGGATATCTTCCAAATATGACCTACCTCTCTCATTTTGTCTACTCATGAACATAAAAGAAGAGAAAATTATATAAAATCGAAACACAAATATTGCTAATATAAGGGGCTTGATGGAATACAAATATATTATCCATTAACCAGCCGCTGCCTTAGCTCAAACCTCAAACATAAATATTTACACAGATTATTTCATAATTCAGATGATGTAGAAGATAACAACTGATGAAATTTATAGATCGACGGGTTGGGGGTTGTACATTTGTCGTAAATAACAGTTTCTTAGATTATTATAACATTCTCATATAAGTATAAAATAAAAATGGTAAATGACGTAGACAGTAATCTAATAGTGAGCATGGTTTTACGCCGCTTTTAGCAATATTCCAGCAATATCACGGCGGGGGACACCAGAAATGGGCTTCACACATTGTACCCATATGGGGAATCGAACCCGGGTCTTCGGCGTGACGAGCGAACGCTTTAACCACTGGGCTATCACACCGCCCTCATAACTTACACAGTTGTGAAAACCCTATATTATCAAATATCAACTTAGTATCTTGACGTTGCAACTAAGTTTAAAGTGAATGAGTGAGTTTAGCTTTACGCCGCACTCAGCAATATTCAATTTTGCCTTATGAGATTCTACAAATGTCAGAAAAATATTTTCTGCGCGTTTCATTTAGAAAATTTGCATAATTTAGTTGTGAGGTTTTGGTATCCAGGATGGTTGATGATACCGTGGGATGTTCCCATTTCGCCTACATCCCATTTCGCCCCACATCCCATTTCGCCTACAGTAATTGAGGATGGCAACTCATCCACCCCTCATTCAGTGAATGGGATGGCCAACATTTCCTGCTCAGTGTCGTCAAAAGAATATGTTTACTGTTTTGTTTGGTTATTTTATTAATTAAGGTGGTTTAATGCAAATTACTGTAATAAGTTTGAGATCAAAGTCACTTTATATCTATGTTGATAAGATTTGTTGTTTTAATAAAGCCTTAATAAAATGGCTACTCTCAGGCTTCCTGCTCAATGTGCAATTTTGTTATGCTCTCTTCTCCGTGTACTGTTGTTTTAATATAAAGTATATAAGGGATGTGAAATGCTGTTTGTGATGTCAAAATGGCAAACGCATTTCTTCAGAGAGTAGAATTTATTACGACACAGAGAGGCGGGCAGCAAGTTCTATATGATGGATATCGCTATCGACTAAATGTGAAACGTCAGGTGGCAACACACTGGAAGTGTGTTCAGACAGGATGCAAGGCACGTTGCAGTGCCATAGGGGACCACATCACCATTGCATCTGACCACTGCCATCCCAGAGAGAATGAAGACCAGACGCGTCTTCTAAGCCGACTCCGTGAACGTGTGTAGACCGACATCACTCGAGTTCAGCAGATCTACGATGATGAGCTGAATGCAGCTGAAGACGTGAACGCAGCAGTGCTGCAGTTTCTGGACGCAGTTGGACATTTAATTAAACTGCAAATACATTAGACTTGTTGAGAACAATGATATAAACTTGATATCTTCAGTGACTTGATATATTTGTGCTTATGTGATTTGATATAACTTGATATGTTCAAGTTTATTATTACATGTATATTATTTGATATATACTTGAGATATATATATATATATATATACTATTAAAATGGTCAGACCAACTCAACCCAACTCACAAGTTTGTTTCTCATTATTTGGGTTAGTCCATTAAACTACAGTGAACAGCATACAAATCCTATGTTCACTCAAGTGTAAATTTGTTTTGATAAGGGTGTAGGCGAAATGGGAACAAGCCCCCGTGGCAGTTATACTACAAATGACAAGTTATGATATTTAATTTGGACTTCATGCTCAATGCCATAACGAAATATATCCAGGAGCATTAATCATGCAATACCGGTAATCCACGTTTTAAGTACGAAAACACACGTTGGTGCATATGCTACGAAAACCTAAATTACACGGATTAAAATGGTAACTGTAACACATTTGATTTCAACAAAAACAAAACTTAAATTGAAACATCACATTACTGCAATCTGAGAAGAATACACCAAAGCGTGATCTTCAACAATGCTGGAAAGTATGGTCACCATAACAACCCCACAAATCTGATTGTCGCACAGTTTTTAAACAGTGGTTGTTCTGATTGTACGAACCACCACAGGCGACCACACCAGTATCATGTGTAGCCATCCCTCGGACTTATAACATCTGCCAGTCTCCTCCTCATACTGCCAATCAAGCATCGTATTATTAACATCTGATTCCTATGTGTTCTACAGGAGGAGATATCGTTTTGATAGATATTGTACAATGCCCTAACAATGCTTTGACGTCATGAACTTGATGACGTCACAATGCTATGACATTGCTGCACTGCATGTCTAATGCAGTACTGTGTTTAGATATGTACATTTTTCATTGAAAACTAAACAAGAGTGATTTTTGATGATAAATAGAATCTCACCCTCGTCTCTTCTGATATCAAATATATCAACACTCGTTGATAAAAGTAAAAATATCCTCGGCAAGCCTCGGATATTTGTAACTTTATCAACTCGTGATGATATATTTGATATGAAAAGACGCTCGGCTGAGATTCTCTGTATCTGGATTATAGTGGATCATGCGCTACTAATGGACTTGAGAAATGGTCATGATAATTAAGTATGATTAAATATCTTATTCCTGTTGTTGTGATGTCAAGGTGTTTTGTTATATGTCAGTTTGGTAATCATACTATCTTTCTTGTTTATTTATTGTACATGTTGAATTGAATATATGCTGAATATATTGCTGAATCAAAAAATAATCTTTTCTTATTGATTCTACTGGACTGATCCATTATAAGACTAGGTATCAGTTTGAGGATCAGTTGTGCACTCCTGCTTGACAACGGTACAAGAATCGGTACTCACGAATAAAAAGAAGTTGTTATCCATAAAGTTTGTTCTATATTGTACTTCCCAACTTCTAAAATGCCACTCAAAGAAGACAGAAATGTTGTGTTAAGGTGTCTAAGATATGGTTGTCTAAGTTTTGGGAGGTTACCGATCATCATAGTCATTGATGTTCCTCAGTCTGCCAGAACTATGACGACACTTTACTTCGCCGGTAGCCACATGGTCCTCGTAGGCCACAGGATTCCTCTTAAGTGGACTAACGGCCATGTGGTCAATGTACAAGTTAGCACATAGCCGGAAACAAGAGTGACGAAAAACTAATTTTCCAGTGTACATACGGCGTCAGTCATGTGATTTTGATCGGCATGAAAGGCAGATACCATCCCTATCAGAAACCGGATGCTTTCGCACTTGTACAAGACGTGGCCTGTTGCCACATATATAAGCATGTGTTACAGCCATATCAGAAGAGCCAACTGTTACCACTTTAATTATTGACGGAGCTATCACTGTTCAGAATTGAAACATGTTACTGTCAAAATATTGTATGAATATGTCTTCACTTGTCCGTTGCAGTCATCGACAATCATAAATCATACTCCATGTTGCTCATGTTGCAAAACATGGCCATGAAAGGATTGTGTTACGAAGAGTAGCTGCAGATGTTGAAGTGCTTGCAGTAACGCTCAAAACACCCCATCCCACCAACGCATGCAGCTCTTGTACAGCATGTTAAAATAACAAGGCAGGACATATATGGATTAAGTCACTTCTTCCACAACCTTTACTCTGGTTACAGCAGGAAAGTGGTAAATATGTTCCCTAATGGACGACACTTCCCCAAGCATCAACGTCTTGGGAGGAGGTGGTCTCTTGTGGCTGCAGAAAGGGGTGTAACAACAAATGCAAGTGCAAACAGTCCTTACTTAAATGCACAGAACTATCTAAACATTTAACCAGAATATGTGGGTAATTATTATTTTGGTTAAAATTTCCCTGTAATGCATTGATGGCCTTTCCAAAGCTAAAACAGTAGCGAGAAAGGCAAAGGAGGATTTGCCCTCTGCAAACGCCCGTGGTGCGAGTTTGAATTGGTCTTCTGGAAACCATGCTTGTCGTAAGAACCGACTAAAGGGATCGGGTGGTCATCCTCGCTGACATTCTTCAAGCACTCCA